CGCAAGGGAGTGACAACCGCGGAAGCGGCGTAAGCCTGAATGTAGTGCTCAAGAACCTCTTGGGACGGGAAGCAGCCACCAAATTCACTATTTGCAGTTTCGTCGGATGTACCTAGACAGGGAATGCATTTAGCCAAGAAGGTAAAGTCAACAACAGTGAATTCCTTGAAGGGCAAATGGGATCTAGATAGCAAGGCCTACTTGCGTCATAAGTATAGTATACTTTTTATGATGCATAAACATGCTCCTGTGAAAAGCATAGAGAAGGGAACATAAACGGAGACTGAATGCTTGTATGCACGTCAAAAAGGACTAATCGATAAGAGAGAAGTACAATGGGCAAAAAAGCTTACTCGAATTGGGAAGTGGCGGAACTTCGCAGTGAGCTTCCAGGTGTTCGATGGGCAGGGCGAATTGACGCTCCTCCTTGCCCCACATGAGGCTATCAACAATCGTTGCCTCTGTGAGACCCCACAGAGGGTGCATCAAATCTTCCTGTGACACGTAGGGCTCGTCGTCGGCTAATTCAAAAAAAGACAGAGCTGTACGTCAAACCACCCAGTACGAAGGAATACCAGAAGGCTAAGAATAAGCTGCAATGAGAAGGATTCAGTACGGTAGGTGTGATATCTGCGACCGCATATAAAAGGTACTAGGCTTTACGTGAGCAGTAGCCGGATCATATATGGCATATGCACAACCAGCTATGCACCCGGCGCGTCGGCTCATATACGACAACTATTAATGACCGTAAGAGCCTTCTAGCACAATCTAAAACCCTTGGTTGTTAGGAGCCAACCTAACCGAGTCACTCCCGCGTCAAGCTATTGATCCGCTCACATGCAGTACACGTGATGACGCGCAAGCTGCGGCCACGATTAACACTTCGCACCTTAGTCGGATGAGTCAGACAGACAGGCCAGCCGCTACGTACTTAAGGATGGGCCCGGTATTGTGCATGCTGGTACATGCTCTGCTTGCCTTAAAAACGCCAAACTAGGTACGTCAATAGACTGCTATGTTTGTGCCCTTGCTCTTGTGCTGTCCTTTCGAAATTCGAACGAGGCCCACCTCGAGTCCGATTACGCCTACTCGCTAATTGGCCAAATTACCAACTTTCAGGCCGCACCAGCTGCTTACATCCGATTTCGCCTCCGGTCATATTTACTTTGGGCTCAGCTAAGTGAGGGAGGAGTGTGCAGTAGATGTTGTGGCAGTCTACCATCGGTATGAACTACTCCAAGCGTAAGTCAACGTCCCTGTGGTTACTCTGCTATGGGGAACACGGTATATATAGTCTAAACGACGGTCGAATTGTTGTTTAAGTAGGTGGGGTTTAATTCAAAGGTAGTACCAGGATACCTAAGCTAAGTCAAGTATTTATAGCGGCTTTCAGTTTACGCCTACAAACATATAAATAGGCTGATTTATTTCGAATAGGCTATTAATTTCTGAGGAAGCTAAAAGGCAGCAATTAAATTAAACACTCGAACCCACACAATATGCAGATTCTTCAGTTGCGAGAGTGAAAACGAAACAAACTGAATCGGTCGGAATAAATGCCACAAAAACCACAATTGAGGAGCCCAAAGCATAACTTACGTTCTGGTGGGGGGAGAAGGAGGCCAACAACTGGCTGGGTCTTTTGTAGATACTCCAGGAGACGGTGAGCAGCATTTGCCCTTGCAATAACTACATTAACAGCAGTCGCGGTTGAGCAGCAGTGACCGTCTACTAAGCCACAGCAGACAAAATTTCCGGCAACAGAGTCGAATTCAACCTCAAAGTCCACAGTCATCTGGCTGAATTCTGCCGATTGCGCGAGAATTTGTTCCGGTGATAGCTAAAATGCATCAAAAATTACACAAGTAATACACTGAGCGAAATTTAAAATGTGAAAGGCTATTGTTAATGGTTTCCAGGCTCCGGGGCTTGAGCAGTGCCTTATCTAACCAGACTTAATTTCTTGCGACGGTTCGAAACCACACTCCCAAAGCGCAACAGAAAGTCTGTGTTCCGTCCTGCAATTAAACCAAGATCAGGGTAGGAAATTCATAGGTTACCCAGGCGCCAAGGCGGGAGCTTTTGACTTATTCGTCTAACGATGAGTCTACTCGGTTGTAGAATGGTCGCTAGTTACGCTCAATAAAGCAGAATAGCCATCCCAGTTTCACCCGAAGACCGAAAAATAATTTAATTTGGCCAAATTATTTATTCTATGGTTTCAAAGCTAGCTATTAAAAATCCCAACTTAACGCCTAGGCAGTTGACAATGTCGGAAAACACATAGGGGGAAGGTTAGGAGCGAATGGAACGAATGAACGACATCGTTGTGTGCCAGGATACTAAGGACGCAGCGCAATTTAGTTATTGACAAGGTGTACTGAATACACGTCGAGTAGGGTTTGTAAATCAGCCAAACATTAAAAAAGCAGCCGAGGTCACTATAAGCTCAGTTTGGAGTCACAGCGATAGGTAAAACACGCGGTCGTAAATTTGTCTCAGAAAATTTACGAGACTTGGAGAACTGGATATGCTGTTGCCTACTTGCAAAAGGATACGGACACAAACTATTTGATTAACCAATGATGCCGCTGATAAATGGAAGGAAATATCCAAAGAAGAGAATAAATTACCGTAGACTTCCAATCGACGGAGATTGAGAGCGCGGTGTACAGCCAGAGGTCGTCGACTGGTTTGGGATTGATGATTGTGAATGTCTCCATTGGGTCACCCTCACTGATAACCTGGTCCTTTGGTATGACAGAGAGAGGATCATAGAGGAAGGGGGACAATCGAGGAACCAAATCAGCTTTAGGACTGAGACAGAGAATCAGATAATCTCCAAAGTTCCACCGACGAATGCCGCCGACAAGGAAGCTGGGCTCAGAGAGGATTGTCATGGCCTAAAAGACGCAAAAGCAGTGAGTGTAATAAGGCTCTTAGGAAAACCTCCTGGGGAAAGAAATGGAACTGTAAAAGCGATAAACAGAACGGCGACAGCCTCCCAGTGTAATAGAAATCTTAAGAAATTGTAAAATCCAAAAAGGGAGATGGGCGCGTAAGCCTAAACTAGCTCATTTGTCTAAGATAGAGGAGGTAGTATGAAGCGCTAAAGATAGTTAGTAAAAGGAAATGAAACACTACGAAGGAACCTCAAAACAGCCAGCCAAAGGCACCATAGGGTGATGGCCGTCCGTGCGTGCGAGCATGACTCCGCATTAACCGAGTTAAATGTAAGCCACAGGCCTCCACTATGTTTTGGTGATCAACCCGTGTTGATTAAGCAGTGAAAAGCAGTCATACAAAACCATGCATGCGGTAGCACGCCCTAGTGGTAGAATTCTATATCGCGTCAGAGACCACGCCCAATGCCATTGACAGTTGGTTGAACTGCTCGGATAGTCAACCGGTGTATGGGAGAGGACGGGAAGTCGATACCGGTGAATCAATTCACACAAGCATATCTCTCACTATAATAAATCTGAGCCATCTGCGTCTATCACGAAGAACTATGAGCCATGGTTTAGAAGACTGACAATTGACGAGACAACTCGCTTCCTTCTAGAACTGAGAGTCGATCTGTCATGGCGTCCTCATGATTCGGCCTTTATGGCACTCATTACATGGGATCCAAGCCCACCCTTCTATAGTCCAGTACATGCATTCGGAACCAGATCATGTGCGGCACATGAAGACGGGTTATTTAGCTTTGTCAGCCAATTGGCGCTTGAGCACATCTCCGATTGTCCTGCCATCAGAGCAGAGTGGGTAGGGGAAGAAAAGGATTGCGGCGGATGATGCGCAAGTCACCGGTTTCCGGTCTAATCTAAGAGGCAGGTGAGTGAAGCTGTCGTCGGGGACGCCCAAATGGTCATACCTCGTGAAAATCCGTATCCCAGGAAGCAATTGAGAAGAAGACTCGATCGCTGGGACAATATGTTTATT